CCCCCCCCCCCGGGGACCCATCGTGTAGATGCCCTCTTCGAGTTATCGTCAAGCTTATATTCATCTTAAATCCAAATTTTACGAAATTCGATAAATAGTTATTTGCAAACGAATTTGGTTTTGGTAGGAGACTTAACTGGATACAGCCTGATCACTATTTTATGCTATTCTTCAACTGAGTTTGCTGCGCGAAGACCGCCTCATTTTTCAGTTGGTATGATATTCGAGATATCGGAGTATACTTACAAGGCTACTGAAAACGTTACGGCAGCCCACGATCAGTTTCGCCCTACTTCGGGCTCATTGGCTTAGGGCATTCCCCAAGTTTCCGTAGAAACTTATGTTGTACTTGAACACAAATTGCAAGCAACTTGACAAATACACTCATTTGCATATTAATTTATTCTTCACGAGAGAATCCCTCAATTCCAAAATGAACGACATCGTCAGCTGGTTAAGGTGAACATCATTGCCGAGAAATCGAGCTGCGAATAGGGTAAGTCCACCTTGAAATGGGTGTATTTGTTGAGCTTCAAAAGTACCTTTAAATCACTTCACATCACAAACAGTAATTCGACTGAAAAACAAAGATTCAAAGGGAGTGTAACCGTATCTTCCTTTGATAAAGCTTTATAATGTTTTCCGTCTCATTTAATTATTCATTCCTCTCTCTTGCAGTTCTTTTGGAGGTTGTATACTCCGTACTTTATCCTTCCTTATATCCGAACTTCCTAAGTCAAGAACGAGTCGGACAGATTCTAGTAATATCAGTTTCCCTAGTTCCGCAACACAACTATTTGACAGGGTTGCAAAGTGTTCCCTAGTTCCGCAACACAACTATTTGACTGATCGTCCAGGGTTGCAAAGTATGGCTACTGATTACAACAGGTTCCATTTAGACGCCTTTTCAATGGAATTCACCTAGGGCATGATAACCTGCCTAACCGTGTTCCTGAGTGTATTGGCAAGAGACGGTAACATCGACTCCAGGATGTACCACACTTCCCAGTGCTCCACGAGGCAAGTGGAAAAGAAATTGTGACGATAAAACAACCCAATAGTCGTGCGTCATTTTTTGCTGACGTGTCAGTGATGAAATCCGGTGAATTTTCTAATATTTTCGACAAACCATTTACTCGTGGAAGTACCCCTAAAAATGCTTCCTTTTCAGTTGGCTTGTGTAAGGCTGTCTTCAATTGTTATGGAAAAAAGCGTTTGTAGACTTCACATAAGAAAACGAATACTACGCTGGTTGTCAGGACCGGATATCGATCGGCATGCAGAGGCTGGGAACATAAGTGAAGTGAAGCAGTGTGTATAGGAGCTGCACCGATGAGCATTTGTGGAAAAAAGTAAAAGAGCGTAGCCATTGACTACCAACTGTTCGTGACCTATTGGAGTCCACGGGGGGACAGGTAGTGGGATGACAACAAATCTAATGGGCCAAATATAATGCAACATGATAACCTGTTTTGAATGGTTCGAATGGTCAATTAAAATGCCCTTTCACCTTTGTACAAAAATTCGGTTCTCAATGCGAGAGTCACCTGAGTCACTACAGAAGGGCTACATCATGATATTATGCAGCTGGAATTCAGGTGAGTTCCCTAGGAAAAGCAAACCGGTGCACATAAATGACTGAATTTTTTAAATTTCGTGTGATTTCGCTTCGAATAAAACATATGGTTTACAAAAACTCTGGGGCTGGACTCGGGAAGGATGAAACCGATTTTGGGCTGCCGAAAAGCTTCAGTAAACTTATGAGTAATGTATTACATCTAGAGAATTTTTAAAGCATGTTGTATTAAACCACGAAGCACTACTTTGGGAAGTGCTTGAAAGAGATTCCTCTCACAAAAGGCGAATATCATGTCTTCCTGTGTGAAACACCGTCATATGCGTATTTTCTGAATGATGTACACTCTAAGTTCAGTGAAAGCTTTTCGTTCAGCTCGAACCAATTGCTTACTTGATGTGATTGCACGGCACAGTTTGTTCATGCGCACTGCAAGATCCGGAGAAGTTGGGCTGTTAGAGAATCCTTGAAACTACTGGACTATACCCAACAAGGCTTCCAGGGATACCGGATGGACGGACTAGGATAGTAGATGTTACATGGTTCGCCCGTTCTAAGAAAAAGGGCTGACAAACAGGATGAAATAAACGGAGCATACAATCAACAGCAGTTCAGATCAGCAGGTGCACAGATTTCTGAAAAAAAACTATTAAATAACTAATGATAACCAAAGGAATGTAGAAAGGCAGTGTCCCCGCGAATGAGTGCGCGGAAGAGGAAGAGACTGTTCAAGAGGTGGTTTGGAATCAAAGGGGAGAAGAACGTCATCAGAAACTAAAATATGTTTGGCAAATCTAACACATAAATAGATTGCCTGGAGTTTTTAACTGATGGTTTAACAAAACAGCACGAGCAGCATATTTCAGCCGGGACGCGGCCCTAGTGGGGTCTAGTTTTTTTTGAAACAACATCAGTATATTCTGTCAGTTACCACACAACAGGAAGACAGTATTGAAAGATAGCCCTCCTGGAAGCCGACTTGGAGTATTGTGTGGCAAGCCATGGTGTCTTCTGAGGGTCCTGCGCACGTTCCTCGCTTCTGGCGCTTTGCGGAATACGCAGAATCCGTAGGAAGTTGCATACAAACATGGATCGATGAACAGCAACTTGGTACCAGCAAGGAAAGGGTAGATAAACACTATACAGGGGCAGAAGAACAGAGGAAAAACAACGGGGAAAACAAACCGGTTATATGGTAAACAGGCACAAAGCGCACCACTTGTAAGCTGTCAAATTGAATAGGAAAAGAAACACTGTGGACCGAAAGGACATTGTACGGAGAAACGAAACATTCTTGTCTTCGTCTGGACAGACCATTTGTAGAGTAAACTCTTCCTGCAGCACTTTCTACAGGGGATGATACCGGACAGACCATTTGTAGAGTAAACTCTTCCTGCAGCATTTTCTACAGGGGATGATACCTGTCTTGCAAGGCTCATTTTCTGTTTGAGTGCAGTGTCACTCAAACAGATTAGTCCGGTGACTTTTCAACTGCGATAAGTTAAAAACTCCTAATTTTTTAAGGCGTCAGTTGGTTGTTAAGTCAAGCCACCCTTGCTAACATATCCCTTACTTATAACACTTACTCGGGTTTTTGAGTCTCCATATTCAAACTGCACTAAGTTAAATTAAAGCTATTGGTTTTCTGCTGATGGGAAAAATCAGGGACCTGGCTTTGAGTTTATTTTCGAAGTTCTGTTGCTCAGAGCTATTTGCATGAAATCCCCACCAAACGAAGCAAATAAGTCACAACTGTTGAAAGTCAGAACGTTTGGCGATAACTCCATAACCTAACAGAATAAATAAATGTTAAATATGGAGTAATGTTCCTGGGACTTCCCGTGGGTGGATAAGCCCCACGGGTGACCAGCTTGGGTAGGATTTGGAATTCGTTTCTTTCGGCCTCAAGACCTTATTCTCGCAATTTACGTTAATTCATTGGCTTTAAACGCTAAGTGTATCAAAGCAATCATGTCACTGGGTAATTTCTCAGCAACTCTGAGTGGGTGTATTCCTGTAAGAAAATCGCTTTGAACCATGCTGTCTAGCTCACTGCGAAATTGTGAGAATAGAAACTTTATGGGACCACTACGCATAGGTCCTGAGAGGATTTCAATGGCAGTCTTTATGGGACCACTACGCATAGGTCCTGAGAAAATTTCAGTGACAATGTCCCAGAGACTAAAGCCGAAGTGTCCAGTGAAGGAACTTCATGAAAATCTGGCCAGTTCCATAGGCCCCCTAAGAACAACCTCTCTCAATAAAGATCACACTCAAATTCATATGAGAGTTCCATTATACAGAGAAGCTAACTGACCATCCCTAAAGTGCTCAAGATTTGTTTTCTAGGGAGAAATAGGCCATCAATTCAGAGACTCGTAAGAAATGGGTGAAAAACTCACACTTTTCAATGACCTGAAGTACATGGGACGGAACAAAATTTTTAAGTCTCATCTCATGATATAGCTCATGAGCACGCTGTTTCTCCCCAACAAATAATGAACTTCACGTCACATCAACATAAAAATCGAGGTGAATTTTTCGTTCCTGAATACTACTCGACTGTCACTGATCGTCGTGGAAGTTTGATGATTGTATCCTTTGCATTTGCTAGTTACTGGTAAGAGTGAATGTTGTTTCGAATGGTGGTAGACCTAACAGATGGAGCGAGCGAACTTCAAGTCTTTCAAGCACCGGTACCCACATGAAAATACTGTTTGTGGAGGTATGGGCTACGTTTGAGTTTCAGAACACGAAACAGCAAGACGTAAATTCTTTTTCAGGGCGGTTTCTTGAACAACTTAGTGCCATCTTGTCACTACTGTACTCACTAGTAGGAAGTATTTGATTATTCTGACGGTTCTATTTGAGCAACTTGGGTCATATGGCTAATCGTGCTGTAACTTCTGAAGAACAATAGCGAAACGCAGTAAGGGTAGCAATAAACAACGCTAGAAGACCGATTCAGTCAACGGACATTAAAAGAACTTAAGCGAGATTTCAAGATTCTCGACAAACTGGTCCACTAATTTTCGCTTCTACAACACAAACAGAGAGGCGCCTGTTGAGGCAGCATCTGTCTTGTTGAAGCAGATATGTACTGAAAACTTTGATGCGTGGGATGTGTTCGTGGAGGTTGGTTTGGAAAATCGAGAAGAATTAGGTTAGAACAAATGCAGATCAGTATATTCAAATAAAAGTTATTTAGGAGAGATATGTGGTTTAAAATATGTCTTATAGAGCCGTGACAGTTCTTGTAGAGAGATGAGATGACAACACAGAAGCGAGACACAATCGACAGCTGGAGCACTGCGGACTGTGTTTGAAGGTCCGCACTCGCTTGGACGATTTGAGCAGCCCTCGAATGAGGTTCGCTATGTTGGCTGAAATGAAGACTATGACAGTGTCTAGTTGGTTACCACAATGATCGCACAGGACGGTCTGTAGGATTGATAGATTCTTCAACAAGCAACACAACGCAACGTATATGTTTAACCCAGGCACTTCAAGCCACCTCATCTCCCGGTAGGGATTGGAGGCTAAACTTGACGCCTAGAACGAGAGCTGCCTTACAGTGTGTTTCGTATAACATTCTTCTATAGGATGTGATTTTTGAGTTTTGGACGTGTGCCTAACAGCTTTGCGCATAAAGATTCAGAGGAATATTCAACCTAATAGAGCTCATCAATCGTCCAAGCATCACCAATGGTTTTGGCCATTGCCCCACTCAAATAAAGGTCACTACTTACTAAAGTGCACAGTAGCTACAATTATTTATATAAAAAAGTCACGTCTGTCATGCAGCGGTCCGCTACAATTGGGGACACATTAATCTCTCCATTGAGGAAATTAGACCCTGAGGAGGGGTTTGTATTGCTTCCAGTTTTGATGAAGATGTCTTCCTGAAATCTCATGGAGCCATTAGAAAGTATTTTAAGGGCAGTAACTCTTAATTAATCTGATTCAAGGCATTTCATTGTAATAGCAGCGGAATATTCTTTTAGAACGTTACTTGATGGATCAGTTGGTTTTGAAATCACTGTGGTGTTGCTAGTTTTCCTGGAAATGGGCATCATACAACATCATCATTGTCGGCAGCAGTACCATCAAGGAACGGCTCACACGTTGTGTAAAAATACTTCCAGTTTGTCTCGTACTGGTCCGCTTGGTAGATATTCAGCTGTTGATGCACAGGATTTCGTTTTGAACCGAGAATAACGCCGACTCATATATACCCTCTTCCAATGTTCCGTCATCGCTTTGTGAATTTTTCCTAATTTCTGAGATATTATTTTATAGATGTTGGTTAACGTGACGGTAGAAGTCTAACCGTATTTGCTCACCCTGGACATTCGTGCTGGCAATACTGGGCGCACATGTAATGTTTCGAGCTGAGTAAAAAACATGAACTCCCGGTTGTGATACGAATAATTTGGTAACACTAAAAAATAAGGGCGCAGCTGCCAGCCAGCTGCTTGTTTATTCAGTAATCTGTAAGTTCTCAAATGAAAGTATTACGAATAATTTCCAGGTTGAGCATCGTACCCGAATTCCCATAATCTTGGATTAAGAGATATCACTCAGTGAACAAATGAAGCAAAGCGCCATAATCTCTTTTATACTTTTCTGGTGATGTTGTCAGTGATGACAGTGATGATGATGGTGGTGATGGCGATGACATTGATGCTGGTGATGACGGCCATAAAAGAGCGTTCGTAGGGAAATAGCGAAGTATGGGATCTCGTAGGAAAAACACGACAGGAATTGCTGTCGTCACGCAGGTGATCGATAGGGCACCAACTCTGGCCAGCGATTGATTATCATCATCATCATCATCATCGTCATCATCATCACTGTCACCTGTAAGAACTGCGTACTTGTCGTATAGTGGTTGTAGCTACCACAGTTTGGTTCACCAACGATTTGGGGAGATGGTGCATTCGAGGCGAGAGCTGATAATTTGGTGCGTAAACACAGCAGTCAGTGGACTGTTAAGTGGGGGAATTACGAAGAAGCTAAGAGCTGAAGGCAAGAGCTTGGATGCATGAGTGCCACTTAGGGCACGACTGGGCCATGTCTGACAATGTCTCTAGCCATTGATGTTTCCCGTCTCGGGGACCCATTCAGGAAGATGGCAAAGACCAACTCAGCTGAGTTTGCCAATTCGTTGTTTGACCGCCTCTGGCTGTCGTTCACACTTCACGTGGTTGTGAGAAAAGAACACTTCGTGGAATTCGGTCGAATGGCATACGGAGCACGTGGCCAAGCCAGATCAACTTATGCAGCATGCTCAAATCATCCATCCAGAGTTAGTCCTTCCAAATACCATTGCTTATCCGTGGTTCCAACTTGTTACGGGCAATGCTCCAAAGACATCGATGGTCAAATATTGAGTCTTTTGACGCCCTCAGCACGCAACGGCCAGGTTTCTGGTCTGCAGCATTGTAAACTCGACCCTTTACGGATGAGCTTATGTCACGCCTACGCCACGGTGACGCAGGTTCACAAAAGCTGCCCTGGCCTTCCCAATCCGGATAGAAACAGTATCTTTCGTGAGGCCTCTAGGTGCGAACCTAAGCTGTTTTCTTCAGTGCGTAGTTCCTCTCTCGGCCTTCCCAATGAAAACTTAACTTTCTCTGCAATTCATGCGTTACTTATGTCACTTACTGCTCCCACTGCCCAGGCAACCAACCCTCTCTTCCCAGCTTATCGACAAATGAAACTTTGACGGCTATAACCATGGGAAAACAAACATGAAGACCTCAGTTTAATAACTAACGATACATTGGAACATTTGGGCTCCTTAAGCCACTTGCATGACCTCCATTTTGACAAAAATCACGCCCGAGTATGAAGAGCTATTAGTTAATTCTTTTAGTCTTCCGTTCATTTATTTGTTTTGTAATGGAGAAAAGCAAATATTCCTGTATTTCTTGAGATAAGCTTTTCATATCATTTTGAGCCAAAACTGCAGTCAACTTCTTTCCTTATAAATACTCCCATTCTGAGCTCGAGTATCGATTTTGAAGTTCAGCGTTTAGAATTCATCGGTACTAAGTAATGGACAAATAGTCTTTTGCCCCCTATTCACATGTTCTTTTGGTGTCTCATTCAAAGATTGTAGATCGTAGCACTCCACTGTTTCCATGTAGTTCAGATAGAGCATTCCATCCCTTCGTGCAACAATATTAAGGCAGAGGACTTCACTTTTCTAGATTGAAATAATGTAGAACCCCAGGGGCAATCATAAGGTGCAAGTCGACCTCAGCCTTGCCCTAGGTATAAAATCCGTGATAATGGTGACTTCGTTGATTGGATAAGGTGAGCTGAATCGAAATGATGCTTTTACTGGAGAAAATTATGATTTTTCAGCCACCTTATATGCGTGAAGATGGAATTGCCGTGAGAACGATTTTCACACACCATAACGCTCACCATCAGCTCCAGTCCTGATTCCCGTGCGACTGTGGCCTGCACTCTACGAACTTTCCCACGCTTGTAGGTTTCCAATCTGAATGGGCTAGAAGTGACACGTGACAATGTTGTACGGTGAAGCCAAGCTACTAAATCCGGCCAATGAGAATGACACAGTCACCATCTTAGCTCGATAACTGCCAGCCGGCTTTACGATTTAAATTTTCCGCAATCGACCTGCGCGCTAGTCAGAAAGATTTCGTGCTATCATGGGTGACGGAAGCCGCAAGGCTGTGGTGAAAAATGCTGACATGTCGGAGGAGATGCAGCAAGACGCCATAGAGGTAGCAACGCACGCCTTTGAAAAATTCAACATCGAAAAAGATATCGCGGCACACATCAAGAAGGAGGTTTGTCCTTTTTAATTAACCGCATTCTTCTTCTAACCTTGCCTCAGTTTGATAAGAAGCACTCGCCCACATGGCATTGTGTTGTCGGCCGAAACTATGGAAGCTACGTTACGCATGAGACGAAACATTTTATCTACTTTTACGCTGGTCAGGTGGCCATTCTGCTTTTTAAATCCGGTTGATTTATTCGGACTTACCATCCCCGTAGTTATCACCCGATTGGAAACTTGCGTATACGACTGGATCTATTATTGTTAACCTGTACAATTCACATGTTTCAGGATCCCCAATATGAGAAGGATTTAATTTGATGTTTCCTGATTTCTGTTTTAAATGTTCATCCCTTTGAGTTGGGCTGCAAATGTGAGTACGGAAGCAAGTTTAACCAATCCACAGTTGCTAGTACGTCGTCCGTCCAATTACCCATTTTCGTATTCTTGGGGCGTGAAAGCAATCAAACCGCAGTTATGCGCAGGTGAGCTGGTAGTCTGGCAGATTTAGAAAAATCGTTGTGGAATATAAGCTACAGTATCCAGCTCCGTCTCATCTGGGACATCAAACTATTGAGACCAAATGGTCAGATTGTCAGAACATATTGTTCACTCTTTGGGGAAAATCTCACAAAAATGGGTCGACTGAAAGTAATCAGGATGATCGAGTATTTTTAGACTTCTCAAAAGCTGGGAACTTTTAGTAATGTAAGTGAACAGTGGGCTTTTTTCAAAATGTGCTCATCATCAGTCCGTCGAAGCTCCACGCAGGCATACGAATTAACGATAACGGCATATAGATGTCCCCAAGTGAGTTGACTAATCCGCCTAGCGTACACAGTTCAAAGACAAGTCTGTCACTAATGGGTTTAGACAGAGTGGTTCTGCAATGAAGCAGCTTGAAAAAAAACAGGCTAAGTTACTAAATAGCGTAGGAGTCAAAGTAAATAATTAGGGCATAGCGGATGCCGCAACCTCTCTAGAGGAAGTGATGACACTGTCGCGGAAAGAAAGCAGGGCGACTAATCTCGAGAATACAATCGATCGTTTTCACGAGGCTATAAGTCTGTTCAAGAAAATTGAATTGTACAATTAGGAGGCGAGTACGTTCCGCTGTATGCAGTAAACTTTGCCACATGGATGAAAATCCACTTGATGGAGTTGTAATGATTTCAAAGGACTTGTATTGGGCTCGTTAAAAAAGCATTCATCTACACATGAAGGCATACTTGACTGCCACGGTCTGGTAAAGCCCGTGAACTTTGTCAGTGTGTGGATAGTTCTACAGCATCAATTTGAAGGTTCAAATAATCCTGATCTCTCCTTTACAAAGTCCGGTCAACCCAAATAACCCGTCAGCAGGCGTCCCACACAAATTTGCCCGTCAGCGATAACTAGACAACTGGGTGCCTGCGCTTGCCGGTGATGAAATGTCGTTTTTGGCGAAGCCAGATGCGCTGAAGCTTGTGAACATGCGAATCCAGTGTAAACCACAATCATTAAGATTATCAAACAACCTCACAGAGAACGTTAAGAAGCACCATCCTGCGTAGGCATGCCAGTTTCAGGAATAAATTAAGTTTACAACAGAGAGTGAGGCACTGGAGTCATCCGTAAATAACCGTATTTCGATATAATGCTTCATTGTTTCCGCCTACAACTGTACAGTCAAACACCCAGGAGCTTCCAAACAGAGGTATTTATGTTTCCAGTATGTGAACAATGGTGCATTATGGGCATACGTTTTGTTAGATATTAGTGTCAGAGAAATTATAGCCTTGAAATGCACCATGCCTTGAAATGTTCCTCTCTCCTGTCCAGAAGATGACATGAGGTCAAAATCTCTTCACCATACCCGTTCCGTGCTCGCATTCGTAATGGAGTTTTGATCAATCTGGGCGTGGAAGACCCGCCTTATCTTGTTCAGGAGTACACTCCAACATTTCGTTATTAACATGGTCGCGCCAGTTGGCTATAGGCGATTGCTTACAATTTCATTCTTACCCACTACGTGGTGCTCGCGTTTGAAATCCATCCCCACCAAGGAATGCGAATGATCTAGCGAAGGCATACGTGAAACGGTCAAATATTTTTACACAACGATTCAACACCTTTCATGCTTTGCTCTCATAAAAGTATAGAAAACACAATAACATGTGATGTTGTGGATTTCGTGTTCTCCTGCACACAGGTTATTTCAGACACATTTTTAGTCTCAAACGTGATGTTGGCCTTCCGTAACTACGCTCCGCTTCTCGTCGATTATTTAGTCGGTGCTGAGATAGTAAAGTTTGAACAGCACACTATTATACTACTATTAAACTCTTCGGTACATCGTAGTTCCTTGAAGGATTTGATTGATCAAAGATAAGTGATTTTTGATCTCCATATAGTGGTCGCTCCTGGTGAATGGCCCAGCTAATCGCATTTGAGGGGTGGAGGGGGTCTGCACTAGCTTCTACAAGTAAGTAATATCTTGATTTTTCAAATTTCGTTACTGACACAATGAAACACTGAATCCAGTCCGTTAACACCGTGAATACAGTGTATAAAATTTTCACTACAAAAGTCACGTTTTTATACCTGTTAACTTTATTGTCCATTAGAACCGTCAAAATTGCCACACTTAACATTTTTTAAGCCCCAGTTGACTGGCCGTTGGATCTGAACTTGTGTGCTACATTGTTACAAATGTTCCCACCCTGCTATTGGGCATTTTTTCCAGTGAAGGAAAAGCTGTCCAAGGTTTTATCAAGCTTGTATGATAATAGTAATTGATTGATGAGTAATAACGAGAAATGTTCACCGGGCGATATTTTAGTATGACGTCTTACGTTATAGTGGCCAAACTTGCTTCACCTCTAATGACCGAGTTCTCAGGTTTTCATTATAGTTTATCTCCTCTGATAGTTTGTCTCTCTTGTGAGGATCTTAACACTTATAAAAGCCCAGATGGGATCGGTTACAAGTGAAATTTCCTAGAAAGTGGTGTATATACAAGGGAAACTACAATGGTCTTGTACCGTAGCGACAAAAACATGAAACTCTCCATCGATTAGAAGGAACAGTGTTACCTCCCGGATACTGTTCAGAGACCCGACTGGTGTAAAAACTGCTTGAATGTTCTATGATGGGCTCCTTTTGAATGGTGTTTTGTAACACGATAAAGTTGGCGGGGAGAGGCCACGCAAAAGATATAAACTTTGGAGCTGAACTCACGGAACCTTGGTAAGGCGGAGAGCTCCCATGGGGGCAATATATGCGTGTTATGATGGACTGTTGTAACAAAATGACGGCCACGGTTATTGTTAACGGAGGACTCAACTGATTCCCGGTTGATGCTCTTCGGCTAAATGGTCAGCATTGTCATTGACAGCGTGACATCAGTGTTGAACAACGATACTTCACTGCCGTACAACCAGGATTTGTTTTAAAGTCTTATTGTAAAGAAAAGAATAAAGGTGGACGGGAAAGGGACCTAGTGCTAGCTTAACACAATCATTCCGAGGTGCTTACACCTCCAGACATTCAGTCAGGCAATGAAGCTGACAACAAGAAAGTCACTGACATTGGTTGGCAGCCATATCTTGTAGTGTCTCCAAACAGGCACAGTGAGGATCATGCGGTCCCCATCCTGGGAGGCGAGTAGCACCGACAGCACCCAAGCGTTTCGTAATGTTTTTTATAACTCTTTGTCAGGTCAAAGGTGTCTCAAGCTAGCAAACACAAGGCGAACCTTGCAGATTCGTGCACTGACCTCAAATGCCACACTACAATAGGCTAAATGTGCCACCTAAAGGCTGTCCCTTGTATCACTTCCTTCGATATTCGGGATATCGAAGTTGTTTTTCTTGCGATATTTATACACTGCTACGCATAGGTTTGCCGAGTACCTAGCTCCGTCAGGAAAATATGCTGCGATATCTCAAATACTGCGCCAACTGAATCATCATGCGTCCATTTTTCAGCACATTCCGCTAGGGACTATCATGTGCAAGTGACAGCCAGGATTCATTTGTGTTTCTAACTGAATTTTGCCCGTTACCTGCAAATCGGTGTTCAAAGGACACCGAAGGCTGACAAAGATTGGGGACCTCGACCCAAAAAGAGTAAAACTGGTCCAGTGCTACCGAAGGGTTTTCAGAAAACTTATAAATAGTGTTCTTTGTCAAGAAAAGTGACCGCTCCATTTGTTTGTCGCACTGAGGATTGAAGTTGTCATGCTGTCATGATTGTCTTTGCTACACCGTCATGGAATACGCTGGTCCAATTGTGTTTCTAAGTGAATTTCGCCCGTTACCTGCAAATCGGTGTTCAAAGGACACAGAAGCCTGACAGAGATTGGGGACCGCGACCCAAAAAGGGTAAAACTGGTCCAGTGCTGCTGAAGAGTTTTCAGAAAACTTATAAATAGTGTTCCCTGTCAAGAAAAGTGATCGCTCCTTTTGTTTGTCGCATTGAGGATTGAAGTTGTCATGCTGTCAAGATTGTCTCTGCTACACCGTCATGGAATACGCTGGTCACATACAACCTCGTTTACTGCAGTTGGTCTACGGGTCATTGCTTTCGGCTGCATAATGTTTGTTGCTGGTGGAGTTATGCTTTACGATGATATATTTACTTGTGAGAGTTTTTAGCCCACACGGTCATGTTTCCCGTAGTAGGCGCCAGTGGTTTTGCTCTGAATAGACTTTGGTAGCATCTTTGTGAATAGGCACTGCTACAGTGTACTTGAAACCAGATTACAATAGGTGATCGAAGCTGTAGAACTGCTGTAGCCTGTCACTCTGATAAAGAATAATGCCCAGATTCCTCTTGCATTAACCTATTGGTGTATCAAACAGTTCTGGTGACGTGCGGCCAAACTCACGCTTCGCAGGATGCCATGCTGTTGAAAAACAGCCTACTGATATCGTATGCTGATAGGTTCTATGAGCAGCGAAATCCTATCATGCTTATTTCTGGTGTGTGCTGTGGATTCGTCTCAAATTCCAGAGCCCTATCTCAGTTTCAATAAAATCCAGTCTAATCTTGTTGAAGAATGTCAGCGGCTAGTCAAGTGAGCACCGTAGAAGCCATATGCTTACACATCTGTGCGTATAAGACCAACCTCGCCGTAGTTCTCTTCATGTATATATATATATATATATATATATATATATATATAT